CTCTCAGAAAAAGGTTAACTTTAATTTATATAGCATTTATCATTTGAAAGCCTGTTTCTCGCTAAGCTTATCCATCAACCTTAGCTGTAGAGATGTACTGAGATAAACGGTTATTAATATATAGAAATAGTTCAACCAAAAATTCACGTAAAACCACAAAAAAGTGTTGGTGGTTTTACTTTGTTTAACTATGTGGAAATTTTGTCTCGCTGTCACTCCCTGCTTCAAGTCTTTATTTTAAGGCAGACAAACCTCATCCTGACTCCAGCTCTGTAATTAACACAGACCCATTTACACACACATTCACACACTTGCTATGCAAGGTAGCATCTGCTCATCAGGAGCGATACAGCACTTCCTATCCAAAGCTCACACAATGATAAGCTCACCCTTACACACACTCACACAGCATCAGCACAGTGCAGCGGTTATCTAAAAGGTATAGTGAATGTAATGACATTGAATACGAAATTAAGGTTTGATTTCATGAAAAATGTGATTGTTGGCTATATTTATGATTCATAATCTATCCAAGGACATTCACATAAAGGACTACATTGGTGTAGTATAGTAATTAAACTAAGCAGCACAGCCAGAAAGCATCTGGTAACATCTTAATGAGCTGCAAAAATGTATATTTATGCTGAAAAATGTCAAAACAATGCAAAACTATATTACATTCTGTTGAAGAACAAACTAAAATGAAAAACCACCAGATCCTGTCATCATTCGTGTTAGTTTCAATGTTTAAATGGTAGCTGATTACATGGGTGTGTTTGATTTACTTTCCAGGCCACCTCCAGTGCACCTTCAGTCCACATTACCCAAACAAGCTGTGGATGGAAGAGAAAACTTTCTGCAACACTTTTCCCTTCCATATTGTCTTTGATGAAAATGTAAATCCCCATGTGTCTGTGTACTTTAGCAGCTCCAGAGAGTTTTTTTTATTTTTTATTAATTGGCACACTTAAAATATTTTGCTGTGGATTCTTGATACCTTGTGTTTCCGCCACCTCTCTGTTTCTGATCTCTGTCCTGGACTTGTCTTATCAGCTGAAGGTAAGGCAGGCAGGAGTGAACCTACAAAAGTTTGTTCCAGGTCTCCAGGCCCGAGATGCTACAGTGGACCAATACTTCACCATTATACACCCACAGGTAAAACACAGTCACATAGTAAAGAGTTCAAAAATGTGCAAACAGAGTTGTGAGATTGTGTGAAATGTAGCAGAATACATTAAAATACCTCAGCAGAGAAGAACACAGTCAAGTAAAGGAAAGATAGCGTATGCGTGTAGTAGAACGGAAAGAGAAAAGCCTCTATTTTGTGGCAAGCAGTGCTTCAACTGATTGGACCATGAAATTTAGAACTTAACAAATACACAAATTAAAGAAAATCAAAAGTAAACCCGGCTTTAGGTACCGCTCATCATATTTCCAAAGTTTTGGTTTCACTCCTATAGATTTGGGCTGCAATGCTTTTGGTATAAAATAATTGCATCATTTAGGTAATTCCAAGTCCTTTATGTTGCTTCCATGTGTTTCACAGCCACTGCTGCAGCAACTGCCCTGTTGGTAAGCAGGGCCAAATCAGTGGGCCCATCTTCAATAATGAACTTCTGTTCTGTTTGTTTTCAAAACACTGGCATGGTGAAAACTACAAGGGAGCCAGGGGGAGCTTGAAAAGTGACGAGCTCCCCTAAAAACATGATTTGTGAAACGTTGGAGGGGGGTGGCGGTGCAATATCACAAACTTCACTCATTTTAAAGTTCCCCTATTATACTCCTCTTCAGGCTCATACTGTTATTTTGGGTTTTACAATTTTACATGCTTCAGTGTTCAAAAAACACACTATTCACCCTATTCTGAACCCTCCGTTTTAGCTCCTGTTTCTAAAGCTGGCAACATGTAAGAGGACCCTGCAGTGTATGTAGATAGAAATGACTCATTCTAAGGTAATAAAAACAACACAGTTCATGATGTCAGGTCTTTATACACCACTGAAAACATAGTTATGTATTACATTTCTGTCAAAAGATCCTCCTAAATATTACATGCTGGACCTTTAAAGTTCCTCTCGTGTGGTTGTGTTAAAGGCCAAATGAATGGTGTATGTGTGTGATCTGTGTCAGATAAAGGTGACAAGTTAAAAGGAGTTAGTTAGCATGCAGAGAGTCTGTGTAAAGCTCAACGTTACCAACATCAATCCAGCGTTGGCTGAGATCTACCATTACAATGCAATATAATAAAAACCTAAAGTTAACCATGGAGAAGATCACAACAACAAACCTAAGCTGTTTAATAGTCTGTTGCCGATCCGTAAAGGTAGAAAAGTTGCTTTGGCGAGCTAGTTTTCAGCTGGCAATTCTATTGTGGGTTAGCCAGCGGGGAAGAATTGCCTTTCTTTTGCAGTCTTTTGCTGTGTTATGTTCTGAATGTCAGTGAATTGCTATTTCAACTTTAAGCTATATAGAGAATGATCAAGTGCAGTAGAATATAGTGGTGAGCAGTAGTAAACATCTCTGTCTTCCAGGTGGCTTTTACCATTGAGAGCATCAGGATATTCATCAACAGTCAGTTTGTCTTGAAGAGCTACACAGACAAACACACCACGCTCAAACTAAGAGGTGGGTTCTTATAAATACCTCCACAATTTAAAGCTATTCTGAACTGCATTCTCCTTATATGTTAACTTGTATTCAATTCATCTGTAGGTCAGATGTTGTGGATGGAGTCTCTTGGCTGTATGCTGTACCTGTGTTCTCCGAAGCTACGAAGCCTCCAGGAGCTTCAATATGTCGGCCTCCACCTGGCCGACCTGGCCCAGCATGACGTCACCAGAGACCTGGTTCTTCTTAACCAGCAACGTTTAGCTGAGATGGAGCTCACCAACCAGCTGGAGAGGAAAAAAGTAGGAAAGCAGCATTTAGCTCATGTAGTCTTTTGCGAGGGTCCTGGCCAAAATAGCAGTCCAGCTTACGAATATGATAAGAAACATGCTCAAAGTTAACGTCAATGTAATGTAAAACAAGTGAGAACATTTGCGCAAGCAGAGATGTATGTTTTTGATAAGTTGCTGTTATTATTTACTGAGAAATGAGGGCTTCACTGAGGATCTTTGTCAATCTCGGTGGCTGGGAGTAAACTCTTTATCAGGTCTTCTGCTTTGTTTTGCAAAAGGAGGCCTCACACAAATGTGTAGATCCAAAGAGTAATAGTAGCTTCAAAGCTTTCTTTCCCAGCTCCGGGTGCTTCTTCTTCACACACCCCCAAAAGCGGCAGATGTGTCAATTTCATCTGTAGCAAACGGTCACATCCAAGAGTTTTTCCTGATGACTGACAGGAAGCTTTACCCTCTTCAAACGAGAGCAACTGATTTCTCACCCAATACAGTTCAGCAGATTTCTCCTCCATGTCAGGGAGGTAAGAATTAAAACCACCAGTCATGTTGGCTAGGTTTCCCAGTCAGTTGAGTTTGCTGAATATCTCTGCCAGATAGCGTAGTCAAGTCGGTCTCTGTCCTCAGACAAGGTGGCATGGAAATATCCGCGCTCTGACAGAAAAGTGCACACTTCAGATTGTAATTCCAACTGCATGTTGAGTATTCTCACTCAAGAGAGCCAGCGCACTTTTGTGTTCAGCTCTCATGTTTTCCAAAGGCTTCCAAACAATGGCTCTGACTGAGTTTTTTACTTTGATGCTGCCTTTGCATTTCAGAGTTTTCATTCCGAATTCATGCTATGTGCGTCAATACTGGTGCAGGATTTCCAGTTCAGACTGTTTTCACAGAAAAACACATTAACAACACTACAAATTGTCCTCTCCGATTGTTTTGCCCCTTTGATATTTTGCAGAAAAGTTTAAGTTCACAAACATCATCAGCAAAAAGCTGTGCCTTTTCACTGACATCTGTCAATTCATCGAGTTGGAATGAAAAGGATTTCCTACAGCTTGATTTGACAAAGGCGCAGTTTTGTCAGGATAGCAGAGTGCAGGTGTAGACACAAGCTGGAGCAGAATGCAGTTTGTAAGATTTATTAAACGAAGACACATTATCAGGCTTACATAGATGCAAGGCAAGCAAAGGTAGTAACCCGTAAACATAAGTTAAATTCGAAACAGAACAGAAATAATCCAAAAGATTCAACCAAGCAGAATAATTCTAGCAAGTACAGGGCACACAGCACCGACACGATGAGGACTGAACACATTAAATACAGTGGGCAAACAGCCAGGGAAGGAGCAAACAGGTGAAACAAATCAGGAAACATCTGACAACAGGAAAGCAAGTTAGACACAAACACGAGACACAGACGACTACAAAATAAAACAGGAAGTACAGCATGCAACAATACACGAGGACGAATGTAACTGAACACCAAATAAATGCCTTACTCACAAGTATTAAATGTATCTGCATAGTTTTTGTCCAGCATAGTCTCAGCCAAGACAACAGTGACTGGAAGCATTAGGTTTTCAGCTATGGTGAATGACTATTTGGCTTTAGCTACGAGCAAAGACAACGCATTAGAAGCCTTGAGGCTGATGTTGTGGCGACTTTACACATTGTTTCTTGGGATAATCTAAAGTCAGTCAGTTTTCTTTTTAAAAAACTTGTGGCTCACCAACATGACATTGATGTTTTGTGCCGAGATGTCGCTGGAGGTTTAAAGGCTTCACGCGACCGTAATTTCTCCCCGTAAAAAAAGCACAATGAGTTGGGAGGGTTGCGGCTCTATTGCTATTTACATTATGATTTCACAGCTATGAGGCAACAGCATGAAACAGATCTAGTGCTTTAAGGTATGTTATAGAGAAATAGAGAAAGTGTCATCTACCGCTTCAACTTTCACCTCAGCTCTATTAAGTGCTCACACATTATCTGCCTCTTCAACTGCTTTGTGGATTTATACTTCCGGTGCCGGTGCTGTCAACTAATCTCTTCCTCCATTTTAACAACCACCTTTACATTTCCCAGTGCTTATACTTCAAATGTCACTTTTCTTTCTGTACGCCCAAGTGATTAAATTACATTTCAGTAGGGGTCGGGGGAAAATAATAAAATAATAAAATGAATTGCTTTTTCAGTCCACTAGACAAAGAGTTTTCCTTTGGGGACACAATTTAAAGTTGGGAAAAAGTAATAAATTCCAATGCAATTAGTTTAAAATCTAAATAATACTGTATCGTGACATAAGTATCGTGATGATTCCCACCCCTACATTTCAGTAGCTCCAAAGAATCCAAATGTTAAGATAAGATGTGTTTTAAAGAACAAATTGTCAGCCTAGGTGAGAACATGTAAATTTCCCTTTGCAAATGTGTTTTTTTATCTAGTTTTCTTCTAGTTTCATGAATCTATGATTATATTTACAGACACAGGACTAAGACTGGGGCAATTTCCCGCGTAGAAACTAGCTCACTTCAAAGTCTGATGAGAACCAATGAAGGTTTTTTGTTTAGAGCACTAAAAAGTAGGTCATCCTATGCCCCCACCACCCCTTTTTAATGTTTCTCTCTGACCCAGTTTGGAAGCCCCACTGCACTATATGGATTTGTGACAATATACGAATATGAGATTTGTACAGCTGTTATGCTTAATTCTTTTCACAAGTAGGGAAATATAATTTCTTGTATTTGTGTGTGATTGTATCTGTCTTTAGGAGGAACTGAGAATCCTGTCGCGGCACCTTGAGATTGAAAAAGAAAAGACAGAGACTCTGCTGTATGCCATGCTGCCACGCCACATAGCCAATCAGCTTAAAGATGGGAAGAGCGTAAAGGCAGGTCAGTCAGTCCATCAACCCTGTTGTCTTTTTCTACATATCTATCTGTTGCTCTGTCAAAGTGTCTGTGTTTTTCAGGGGAGTTTGAGGTGTGCACTATTTTGTTCAGTGATGTGGTAACCTTCACAAACATCTGTGCTGCCTGTGAGCCCATCCAAATTGTTCACATGCTCAACTCCATGTACTCCAAGTTTGACCGGCTCACCACTGTACACGACGTCTACAAGGTATTATCTTATTTGTTATTGTGGTGGTTGAAATAACTCTGTGTAGATGTCGTGTTTAAACAAGGAAAATGTTCTGTTTCCCACCTGTGTTTACTCAGACCTTTCTGTGTGCAGAATACGTTTCACTTTTATAAGAAGTTTTTTACCGCCCTGCAAAGTAATACTAGTAACCTTACATTTAGATTTCACTATTTCAATCAAATATTACTTACATTTCTGTTTTTATGTCTTGTTGTTTCCTGAAGGTTGAGACTATTGGTGATGCATACATGGTGGTGGGTGGCATCCCAGTCCCTACAGAAACCCATGCTCACAGAGTGGCAAACTTTGCTTTGGGTATGAGGATAGCAGCCAGAGAGGTCACCAACCCCGTAACAGGCGAGCCCATACAGGTAAGATTTGAGTTTTTCATCAAATACAAGTGACTATATTTGTGGATCATGGAAAGTTTGTTTGTGGATTTTGAATCTATTTGTAGATATGTTGTGTGTTTACAAATAGTGACATTTATTTGTGACTCATACTCTGTGCAGTAATGTCCTCTGCTTTAGTAGATTGTTGACAGAAGACATTTTAGCCCCTACATGCATCTAAGGATCTATGGTTCTGTTGCATTTACATCTAAAGCGTTGGTTTCCCCAAATTACGATAAATCATATTTTCCGGTATTATCTATCTCTGCATACAGATTTGATTTGTTCAGATTTTCTGCCTCCAACAGAATTTGATTTATGATGCATTGAAAAAATACAACTTTATCATCCATTCAGATCCGTGTGGGTATGCATAGCGGTCCAGTGTTAGCTGGGGTGGTGGGAGAGAAGATGCCTCGCTACTGTCTGTTTGGAGACACTGTTAACACTGCGTCCAGGATGGAGAGTCATGGAGTCCCTGACCACATTCACATCAGCACTCCCACATATAGGTGTGTGTGTATGTGTATGCTTTTATCTCACCACCAGCCAACTGCTGGTGTGTGTGTGCTCTGTGTGTGTATATATATATATATATATATATATATATATATATATACACATTACCGTGGTTTTTACGCTGCCTAGCTGCCAGGTTTTCTCCTCGATACCCAATGTTTGTTGAAACTAAATCTCGGTGTCATCTCATGCGCACAGAGCTGCAACTAACCCACTATCAACTTGTCGAGATAAGAAGCTAAATCCAATGTGCAGAGATAATACTGCTAATTATGAGGGCAGACAGGATGGACATACACTATCTGAAACATGATGAGGACGCAGCTCTTTGCTAGTTATCATATTCCTCATACAGTTTATCCTGCTGTAATATTATTTCCATGAAAGTTTCAGATTTAACTATAGAAAATGTAGTACAGCTAGATTTTTATTCCAAAAAATATGTGTAGTTATTCTGATACATACTTATAAAAGACTTCTGTGTCCCTCGGTGTACCCCTCAACCCACTCCCGTCTCCTCATCAGTGAACTGAAGAATTCAGGGTTCAACATACAAGAGCGTGGGCAGATTGAGGTGAAGGGCAAAGGCCAGATGACCACTTACTTCCTGTTAGGGAACCTGCTGGTGTCAGAAGATAGCATCATGGGACGAGAGGTTGGAGAAACCCGTCTTTACATGGAGGACCTTCATGGCAAGGGCAAAACAGGTAAAGAACAAAATATGGAATTAAAATAATAAGTGTCATTAAGGAGGGTTAGTGACGATATACTCTGTACATTTGTTCTTGAAATACTGACAATGAAAAGAAGTGTGACAACCGTGTCAGCAAGATGAGGCTGTTGGGATGTTTGGCTAAAAGACTAATTACCAACCATATCTAATGATTCATTTTTCATAATATGTTGTTTTTTGTCGTCACATTTTGATTATTTTTGAGCATGAAATAAGTTTTTTATTATGCTATACGCACAGAGAGCCAGCACAGCAGACCAGACTTGTTCATCTGAGAGTTGATTAATGGGAATTCTGAAGTACTATGAGATAAACGTTTGACTCAAGCACAGAGGCTGTATTATATAGGTCATTACTGTCATTATGCTTTACTGTCATTACGTGTAGTCCTGGTCGTGTTTTTCTTGCGGTTGGTTTGTAAAACAATTAGCCTGCGGCAGTGCTGATACAGCGGAAGTAGAGGTCAGTGTGTTTACCAGAGAAACTAGAGCTTACAAGACAGTGCTTGCTAACCACAGTAGAATAAAGAGGTCAAGCTGACACAAAATGTGGAGGAGAGACAAAGCATGGCGAGAGATGAGGAGAGTAACAGGGTAGAGTAGATATATTTGATCTGACAACATATCAAGGAAGAACTCGCATAAACAGGTCTGCATGTGCATGTGCTGCTTTGGATAAAATTGTACGGTGGAGTTGCACTAGAAGAAAGTACACAGTTATATTAGCAGGAGAGCAACCATTTAAGAATATAGTGAACACGTGGAGTGTATGCAAGAATGCATTCACTGTGAGCAGCATATTCATTAAAATAGAGAATGGGGAAAACCATGTTCTGCTACTTGACCTCTTGTTACTTATAAGTGATTACTATGTACACCCAGAGCCCTTTACTTAAATGGGCTTTAAATTACTTATATGGTTATTACTCGTGTTGGGTGAATGGAGCCTTACAAATCTTTGGTCATCCTGTGGTTTGCAAAAAAATTGATTTAACAGTTTTAGTCTTTTATGTAAGCAATTAAAGTGTTATAGACCTGCAGTTGTTTATTAAAATCTTTAATAATAGTGCTCAGAAGTACTGCAGTAAATGAATGTCTTCAGTTAGGAGGTATTCTTCATTTGACTCAAGCTCCATTACAATGTTTTGAAACAGCGAGCTCTGCAGAGCTTCATACCTTATTAGTTACGTGCGGACTTTGGTAGACTTTTGACCCTTTAATATGCCCTTTTCATTTAGAGCCTGACAAAGAGCCTGATGTGAGAACTAAGACTGAGCAGAGGAACACACTCTCAGATGGAGTCATCGCCTCGGACCTCAGCCGCTTAGACGCCATCACTCCCTTTGCCTGGGACATCACCTCGCCGTATGAGACCAACGAGAACAGCTACAACACACCTGCAAAGAGCAGACTGTGTGTCTTACTCTGACTTAGAACCCTCTCAGCCTGATACAGCTCATTAAAATTTAACAGAAGATGACGGCATACATCTCATCTCTGTGCAGTCTAAAAGGACTTGGGTGTGAGAGCTGCTTTTAAAAACAAAATGATGTAGTAGTTATGAACTATGCCTACCGGTCGATGAGGTGGAAAAGGTGTCTTGTCAGCAGTTGCTTTTTTGCTGTGGATGACCGTCTACAAACAGGCACGATTCTCCTTGTTGTGGGTTCAGTCTGTCCCAAAATGCCTGTAGATGTCAGTAGCTGGCAAATCTGAAAGAGTGAAATAAAATGATTCCTCATTGCCCTAGTAGATCTGAAATGTAATCACCTAGGTCTTAAAGTTGAGTCCACTATAAACTGCACCTGTATAAACCAGTAATAATTGAGAGAGTAGAGATTGTAAAAAAATTTGTAGCTCTATGTGTTAATGTCAAATGATATCTTATTATATAGTTTTTATTCATTTACTTTAATATGGTCCTGTGTTATTCTTTTATTTTCTTTCTTTATTATTATACAGGAAAAGATTAATATTCATATTACTCACAGTGGGCCCACATAAAAGATCTTATTATTATATTATTATGTTTTATTTTACATAGAACCACTGGTTTTCTCCCAAAAAGTTATGATATGAATTTCAACATATAATGCTGAAGACTTCATAGCCTTTCTTCAGGAAAGACTCTCATACTGCATACTGAGAAAATGACAGAATAATGTCGCTAACCCCGCCTGTCAGCTCGCTCAATGAATTTACCATAAAGGTCCCAAATACGTTTGCACTCCAAATTTAGCTGCAGCTAGCCGACCTTGTTCTCACAAACAACGCCTCGATTAATCGCAGTTCTGTTTGCGAGTATGTCGCTAAACACAGTTTGTCAGAGTGTCCATACAAGAAAAGAGGAAGAAAAAAAGGGGAAGCTATTTACTTTCTTATATATACTGGGGGGCAGCAGTTACAGAAGGAGGACATGGTTAAGAATTAAAAGTTAACACATTTAGAATAAAGTTAATGTGGACTGCATCAGCCGTGGTACGAGGAGATTGTTTGCCAGCACACCTGTGGCAGTACTGAAAATAGAAACTTAGGAGTTAAAAAAGCTCATAGTGTGGGTGTAGCTCAATGAATAATGATGAAGGCTTTATCTTTTAAAATCACCCCAGACCACTTGCTGCTGTGTGTCTTCCTGAGCCTTCTTTGGGTAAGTTTTTCTTTTTACCTTTCACTTTGATAGACAGTTACCCTCAACAACAAAAAACTATAGTCAAAACTCAGTGGATGTATGCATCATAACAAGTTAAGCTGCATGGAATCAGCATGTAGGAAGACAAAAAGACTTAAGAATGATGGGCTTTTTCAGATGGTGAAATATGAATTCATTATTTCTCTGCAGCAGTAATCTGTTAGCACGTCCTCATAGAAACAAGCCCAGGTGAGGAAATAACTTACTTTAAAATAGAAAGGGAGCTATACCTTTTATATCTTTATTTACTTTGTGTTTCAGACAAGGCAATGTAACTGAAGCCCTTGAAAGATATTTGTACACAAAAATATCTGTATTTGAAAGAAATACACTGGTTGGACAGTTGTGTCTGAATAAATTTTTTTGTCAGGTCTGTTATTAGCATATTTTGGGTGTTGCACTTGAAGATTCAGAGGTAGAAGTGCGAAATGCTAAAACCGGGACATCATTTGCATTTGAAGATCTCTGATGTTTCCTCAAGGTTCCTGCACAACACGATCCTACATTCCCCTCAAATTGTTTGGTCAACATGTTTGGGATGTAAGCTTTGTACCTATAAGGAAAGTAGAATAGAAGCCTCTAAACAGGAGTGTTTTTTTAATATAGATACAAGATAATAGCAGAAATTACATTGCTTGGGGATACTCGCATTCGAGATTGCATTATAGGCTCAACAGTGTAGATTACATAGTCAGATGGACACTTCCGGCAATTTTGTACAGTGACAAATAGATTTAGATAATGTTTGGGATTCTCTCTGGGCCGCAATGATTCCTATTCTGTTTTTAGGGTTTCACTGACGCCTGGACAACATCAACAACAATCTCTTCTGTAGAAAAACTATGTAAGTGGGAGCGGCAAAGCCTTTTTTTTGGTTGATGACAAGTCTGTGTTATATTATGGCAGTCATGAATGAATTTTATTGTGTTGAAACTATCACACTCAACTCAACACTCTCTAATAAAACTGTTTTTTCACCTAAATAGTTTTACCAAGGAGGACGTCCTGTAATTTTTTTAATCCTATTTTTGTGTGTGTTCATATTCCAGCTCCTCGAAACACAGAAGAGTTCAAATCAGTTGACCGAAATGAGACCTGTATAACTCTGCAGTGGAAGAAAGTGAATTACATCCCCAACTACATCACTGAGTTCAATAGAGGGGAGATAAAAGTCACTGCATCAGAGGGACAAGAACACATGACACACACAATCTCAGAACTCACAAGCGGGACTAAATATGATTTCAGTCTCTTCACTGTTTTTGAAAATGTCAGAAGCAGAGGAGTACACATCACTGCAGTCACTGGTAAGATGTTTTTCCTCTGACATAGGCTACAAGAGCCACAGCAGAGCTCTGTAACAATATCTAATTTAAAGTGTCTCAGTAACAGAGGGGTGTTGCTCACTTCATAGTTTTGACTGTTGCAGATACAATAATGGAACTGAATGCAACTCATTATTTGTTTGGAAAAACTTCACAAAACATTTTAGTAGGAATATCCTGTCATTCAAAAATAGACAAATTTTGTCAGTTTCTTCTCCATGTCTTTTACATCCTAGCTCCTTAAAAATGGAACTGAATGCAACTTATTATTTGTTTAAAAGAAACTACATAAACGCAACATTTTAAATCAGATTTTGTGACACTTCCTTATTTGTGTTTCTTTACATTTCAGCTCCTCGTAACACAGAAGAGTTCAAAGCAGTTGGACAAAAAAAAAAGTGAATCAAATCCTCAACTATATACTTGAATTCAATGGAAGGGAGATAAAAGTCACTGCATCAGAGGGACAAGAACATGTGACACACACAATCTCAGAACTCACAAGTGCGACTAAATATGATTTCAGTCTCTTCACTGTGTTTGAAAATGTCAGAAGCAGAGGAGTAAACATCACTGCAGTCACTGGTAAGATGTTTTTCCTCTGACATAGGCTACAAGAGCCACAGCAGAGCTCTGTAACAATATCTAACTTAAAGTGTCTCAGTAACAGAGGGGTGTTGCTCACTTAATAGTTTTGACTGTTGCAGATACAATAATGGAACTGAATGCAACTTATTATTTGTATGGAAAAACTGCACAAAACATAACATTTTAGTAGGAATATCCTGTCATTCAAAAATAGACATTTTGTCAGTTTCTTCTCCATGTCTTTTACATCCTAGCTGCTTAAAAATGGAACTGAATGCTACTTATTATTTGTTTTAAAGAAACTACACAAACGCAACATTTTAAATCAGATTTTGTGACACTTCCTTAATTGTGTGTGTTCATATTCCAGCTCCTCGTAACACAGAAGAGTTCAAATCAGTTGGACAAACTGAGACCAGTATAACGCTGCAGTGGAAGCCAGTGAATAAAAGCCTCAACTATACATTTGAATTTGATGGAAGGATGATAAATGTTCCTGCAACAGAGGGACAAGAACATGTGACACGCACAATATCAAATCTCACAAGTGCGACTAAATATGATTTCAGTCTCTTCACTGTGTTTGAAAATGTCAGAAGCAGAGGAGTAAACATCGCTGCAGTCACTGGTAAGATGTTTTCCCTCTGACATAGGCTACAAGAGCCACAGCAGAGCTCTGTAACAATATCTAATTTAAAGCGTCTCAGTAACAGAGGGGTGTTGCTCACTTCATAGTTTTGACTGTTGCAGATACAATAATGGAACTGAATGCAACTTATTATTTGTTTGGGAAAACTTCACAAAACATTTAGTAGGAATATCCTGTCATTCAAAAAAAGTCAAATCTTGTCAGTTTCTTCTCCATGTCTTTTACATCCTAGCTGCTTAAAAATGGAACTGAATGCAACTTATTATTTGTTTAAAAGAAACTACGCAAAACGCAACATTTTAAATCAAATTTTGTGGCAGTTCCTTACATTCCAGCTCCTCGTAACACAGAAGAGTTCAAATCAGTTGGACAAAAAAAAAAAGTGAATGGCATCCTCAACTATATACTTGAATTCGATGGAAGGGAGATAAATGTTCCTGCATCAGAGGGACAAGAACATGTGACACACACAATCTCAGAACTCACAAGTGGGACTAAATATGATTTCAGTCTCTTCACTGTGTTTGAAAATGTCAGAAGCAGTGGAGTAAACATCGCTGCAGTCACTGGTAAGATGTTTTCCTCTGACATAGGCTACAAGAGCCACAGCAGAGCTCTGTAACAATATCTAATTTAAAGTGTCTCAGTAACAGAGGGGTGTTGCTCACTTAATAGTTTTGACTGTTGCAGATACAATAATGGAACTGAATGCAACTTATTATTTGTATGGAAAAACTGCACAAAACATAACATTTTAGTAGGAATATCCTGTCATTCAAAAAAAGTCAAATCTTGTCAGTTTCTTCTCCATGTCTTTTACATCCTAGCTGCTTAAAAATGGAACTGAATGCTACTTATTATTTGTTTAAAAGAAACTACGCAAAACGCAACATTTTAAATAAAATTTTGTGACACTTCCTTAATTGTGTGTGTTCATATTCCAGCTCCTTGTAACACAGAAGAGTTCAAATCAGTTGGACAAACTGAGACCAGTATCAATCTGCAGTGGAAGAAAGTGAATGACATCCTTAACTATATACTTGAATTCAATGGAGGGGAGATAAATGTTCCTGCATCAGAGGGACAAGAACATGTGACACACACAATCTCAGAACTCACAAGTGGGACTAAATATGATTTCAGTCTCTTCACTGTGTTTGAAAATGTCAGAAGCAGAGGAGTAAGCATCACTGCAGTGACTGGTAAGATGTTTTTCCTCTGACATAGGCTACAAGAGCCACAGCAGAGCTCTGTAACAATATCTAATTTAAAGCGTCTCAGTAACAGAGGGGTGTTGCTCACTTCATAGTTTTGACTGTTGCAGATACAATACTGAAGCTGAATGCAACTTATTATTTGTTTTAAAGAAACTACACAAACGCAACATTTTAAATAAAATTTTGTGACACTTCCTTAATTGTGTGTGTTCATATTCCAGCTCCTCGTAACACAGAAGAGTTCAAATCAGTTGGACAAACTGAGACCAGTATCAATATGCAGTGGAAGAAAGTGAATGACATCCTCAACTATATACTTGAATTCAATGGAGGGGAGATAAATGTTGCTGCATCAGAGGGACAAGAACACGTGACACACACAATCTCATTAGTCACAAGTGGGACTAAATATGATTTCAGTCTCTTCGCTGTGTTTGAAAATGTCAGAAGCAGAGGAGTACACATCACTGCAGTCACTGGTAAGATGTTTTTCCTCTGAAATAGGCTACAAGAGCCACAGCAGAGCTCTGTAACAATATCTAATTTAAAGCGTCTCAGTAACAGAGGGGTGTTGCTAACGTCTCGGGTTACGTATGTAACCCTGGTTCCCGAGAAGGGGAACTCGAACTGCGTCGGTTACGACACTATGGGAACGCCTCTAGGCGAAGCAGGTCTGAACGTGAATGAAATCACTCCAATCCTATTGGCTTGTTGCTAGAACGGTAAGGTGTGACGGAATAACCGGAGGAGTATAAAGCACACCTGTACACACTCATCATTAGCTTAACTATGAAGCAGGCGCTTCAGGCGGGGAGAGAGGTGCGGCGGGCCGACGCAGTGTCTCGTTCCCCTTCTCGGGGAACCAGGGTTACATACGTAACCCGAGACGTTCCCCTTCGAGGGAACTCGAACTGCGTCGGTTACGACACTATGGGAATGAGATACCCACTAAACCGTGGCGAAAACCCCGCCTGCCCCCGTGTGCAATAAAGTGGCACGACTAAGAGGAGAGCGCACGAGTGTCAGGTGACGAAGGAAGGTCAAGACTGTAAAACCGAATGAATGTGTGCGGAGTGGCCCAGCCAGCCACTAAACAAACATCCTGCAAAGAGGCCCCGGAAAGGAGGGCTCGAGAGGCCGCCATGCCTCTGGTAGAATGAGCCCTCACAGCCACAGGTGAAGGCAAACCGCGCACCTGATAGGCCAGGGAAATAGTCTGAACAATCCAGTTGCTGATAGTATGTTTGGATACAGGGAGCCCGGCCCTGGGAGACCCAAAACACACTAGCAGCTGGTCAGCCTTCCTCCAACGGGAGGACCTCAGAGTGTAAATACTCAGTGCTTCTGACAGGGCAGAGCAGATGAAGTCTCCCGTCCTCCGCCGTCACATGAGGTGGAGGATGAAATGCCTGCAGCACTGTGGACCCTGCCGCACAAGAAGGCACTTTAGGGATGTATCCTGAACGAGGGTGCAGGATAGCCCTAATATTCCCCGGGGCAAACTCCAGGCTTTGCGGGGAACTGAAAGCGCTTGGAGATCCCCCACCCTCCTCAGAGAGGTGATAGCAAGGAGAAAGGCCATCTTGAGGGTCAAGTGCTTAGCCTCAGCTGACTCCAGGGGTTTGAAGGGGCCTCAGCCACCGCCCCAAGAACCACTGCCAGATCCCAAGTGGGAACCTTGGACCGAGTCGCAGGTCTCATCCTCCGGGCACCACGGAGGAAACGCACAACCAAGGGAAGTTTCCCCAAGGACTCCTCCCTCAGAGGGATGTGGAAATAGCTGCCATGTACACCTTGAGGGTGGAAGGGGAAAGACCAGCAGAGAACCGGTCCTGGAGGAACTCAAGTACCTGAACCACCGTGCAGGTAACAGGGTCCACCGACCGCTCCCTACACCAAGTGGAGAAAACACTCCACTTCAGGCCGTACATCCTCCGTGTGGACGGGGCCCTGAAGCTCAGGTGGGTCTCGACTGCTCCGGCTGTTAGACCCGCCTCTAGGTACTGTGCCCCCTCAGGGGCCAGACCCACAGTCGCCATATGGCGGGGCAAGGGTGAAGAACCCGGCCCTGCGCCTGGGACAGCAGGTCTCTCCTCAGAGGGACCCGCCACGGCGGGCCGTCCAGGAGCGACATGATGTCCGAGAACCACACCCGGGTCGGCCAGAACGGGGCTACGAGCAGTAGGCTGACATTGTCCTGGCGGACCCACTCCAGAGCAGAGCGACTGGGGGAAAAGCGTACAGACGTAGCCTCGGCCATGAATGTACCATGGCGTCCAGACCCAACGGGGCTGGAGGAACAAGAGAAACCATAGCGGGCAGTGCGTAGTCTCTTGAGACGCAAACAGATCCACGTCTATGGGGCCGAACTCTTCGCACAAGAGCTCCACCACTTCGGGGTGAAGTCTCCATTCCCCGGGCCTCAGCCCCTGCCTCGACAGCAGGTCTGCTCCCTGATTCTGCGTCCCGGGGAGATACATCGCCCTGAGCGATAGTAACCTCTGCTGGGACCACAGGAGGCTCTGACGCGCCAGTCTGTCCAGAGGGCGTGAGCGCAGACCGCCCTGGTGATTCAGATAGGCCACCACCGCTGTGTTGTTCTCTTCGGAACGAATCAGGACGTGGTGGCCTCGGGCAGGAAACTCCTTAGAGCCTGGAACACCGCCAACATCTCGAGACAGTTGATATGCCACTCGGATCGATGCACCTGCCAGGATCCCCTTGCAAAGCGGCCGTCCATGACCGCGCCCCAGCCCGTGAGGGAGGCGTCTGTCGAAATAACCAGCCTGCGACAAGACCCTCCCAGCACGGGCCCCTGGGACAGGAACCAAGTTTCCTTCCAAACTGATAGGGAACGAAGATACTTGCGCGTAACCCAAATCAGACGGAGAGGATTTCCCCTCGGGGAAAAACCCTTGTTCCTTAGCCACCACTGCAGGGGTCTCATGTGCAGCAGTCCAGATGGTATTACGCTGGACGCAGCCGCCAGGAGACCCAACACTCGTTGAAAGTGTTTCATAGTGATGGCGTGGCCTAACTTCACCCCTTTCACGGCAGCCAATATGGTGTCGACACGTGCCGGAGACAATTGTGCCCGCATCGTTGTCGAATCCCATGCAACCCCTAGGAACGTAGCCCGTTGGGTGGGCGCCAGCACGCTCTTCTTTGCGTTGAGCCTCAGCCCTAAATGCCGCAGACGAGCCAGAACGACATCTCGATGCCGAACCGCCAACTCTCGAGACTGGGCTAGGATGAGCCAGTCGTCGATGAAGTTGAAATCCGGATGCCCTGGAGCCTCAGCGGGGCCAGTGCTGCATCCATACACTTGGTGAATGTGCGAGGGGAAAGTGCCAGGCCGAATGGAAGAACCCGATACTGGTAAGCCACACCCCCAAAGGCAAACCTCAGGAACTTCCTGTGAGAAGGACGGATGGAGACCTGGAAATAGGCGTCCTTTAGATCTATCGTGACAAACCAATCCTCAGATTGGATGTGCATCACGATGGCGGGGATGATGAGCAACTTGAACCTGAATCTCCTCAGAGACCGGTTAGAACCCGCAGATCCAAAATAGGGCACGCAGCCCTCCGTCCTTCTTGGAGACTATGAAGTACCGGCTGTAGAACCGGCGTCTCTGTCTGGGGGGAGACACGTTCCACGGCCCCTTTCCTCAGCAGAGTACGAACTTCCTGTCCCAACACCGGACCTTGCTCCGGGCGGACCACAGTCCAAACAACCCCCTCTCTTCTGTTGAATTTGGAGGGCGGGTTTTGAACTATAGTCGATACCCATCTATGGCAGTGTGCAGGACCCACGGAGAAATGTTCGTCAGGCTCCGCCAAGCCTCTGCAAAGTCTGCCAACGGAACGGTGGTCGGTGTCTCGTGTGATCTTCTGGTGGACCCAGAACGGCAGGGGAGAGCCGCCGAAGATCCACGGTGAGTGAGTTGGGATGCCGTCCGCCTGCAGACCCTCGGGGCAGGCAGTACGGCGCGGACTCGATGGTGGCAGGTGCGTCCTGAACGTGTAAACGGCGGGATAACATCACCTGTTGCCACGGCGGAGGGGACCTCGGTCGGCCTCCGGGGGGGGGGGGGGTGCGGGAGGGGAGAAAGACTCCCCTACCCCGGTCTTCCCTGAGCTCCGTCGGGACTGGATGACGGTCCTCAGATCGCGTCTCTCAGACGGCTGAGGGTGAGAGCGCCGTCTCGCTGCCCCAGCTCCTCGGGGGGGCCCCCCGAGAAGCGACACTCTGCTTCCTCTCCTCTCCGTAGGAGCTCGTAGAGGGAAGGGACCTACGCCTGGCAGCCTCAGCTGCCTTGGGTCCAGACCGGCGAGGGAGGTACTGGCGGAACGCTTAGCACTGCGTCTAACGCTTCGTGGTTCTGCGAAGCTCCGCCAGATCTTCCTCGGAGGGACCCCCCCTCTGAACCATCTCCTGTAGCAGGTTGGCTTGGTAGGCTTGAAGCACCGTGGTGTGCAAGCTCGCACCTGCCTGGCCCGCTGCCAAGTACGCCTTCCCCACAAGCGTGGATGTGGTGCGACATGGTTTGGATGGTAACGCCGGCTTCTCCAGGGAGGACGCAAGTCGAGGGGAGAGATAGCTCGCAAGCTCATCCTCCACCTGAGGCATCCTCCCATAACCACGGTCCCTAACCCCCATCACATTACTGTAGTTCAGTGATCGGGGTGTGGAAAGCCATGTAGAGAAGGGTCTGCCCCATGATTTACTCAGTTCATCATGTAAATCAGGAAAGAATGGCAGAGACCGGCGTGGAGGTTGCGTGTGGTGCTTAAGAAACCTTTCATCAAGCTACCACTAGCCTGTGGTGTCTGCTCCTCCTGTGGCCAGTTGATGTTGAGCTTAGCCACGGCTCTAGTCACCACCTCCAGCAGCACGTCATAGTCGGGCGTCGCTAGATGACGCCGCCCGACACCCGGAAGTCATCGTCCACTGAGCTGAGCACGTCCGCCTCCTCGGAGTCGGATTGCTGCAGCGTCTCCGGATCCAAACCGCGAGCGGGAGAAGCCGAGAACGGGCTCCCAGTTCGAGTTCCCTCGAAGGGGAACTTCATAGTTTCGACGGTTACAGATACAATACTAGAACTGAATGCAACTCATTGTTTGTTTGGAAAAACTGCACAAAACATAACATTTTAGTAGGAATATCCTGTCATTCAAAAAAAGTCAAATCTTGTCTTTTACATCCTAGCTGCTTAAAAATGGAACTGAATGCTACTTATTATTTGTTTAAAAGAAACTACGCAAAACGCAACATTTTAAATAAAATTTTGTGACACTTCCTTATTTGTGTTTCTTTACATTTCAGCTCCTCGTAACACAGAAGAGTTCAAATCAGTTGGACAAAATGAAAACAGTGTAACTCTGCAGTGGAGGAAAGTGAATGACATCCTCAACTATGTCATTTTGTTCAGTGGAAGCGAGATAAATGTTGCTGCATCAGAGGGACAAGAACATGTGACACACACAATCTCAGAACTCACAAGTGGGACTAAATATGATTTCAGTCTCTTCACTGTGTTTGAAAATGTCAGAAGCAGAGGAGTACACATCACTGCAGTCACTGGTAAGATGTTTTTCCACTGACATAAGCTACAAGAGCCACAGCAGAGCTCTGTAACAACACCCCTCACTTAACATTTTTGACTGTTGCAGATACAATACTAGAACTGAATGCAACTCATTGTTTGTTTGGAAAAACTGCACAAAACATAACATTTTAGTAGGAATATCCTGTCATTCAAAAAAAGTCAAATCTTGTCAGTTTCCTCTCCATGTCTTTTACATCCTAGTACCTTAAAAATGGAACTGAATGCTACTTATTATTTGTTTAAAAGAAACTACGCAAACGTAACATTTTAAATCAAATTTTGTGACACTTCCTTATTTGTGTTTCTTTACATTCCAGCTCCTCGTAACACAGAAGAGTTCAAATCAGTTGGACAAAATGAAAACAGTGTAACTCTGCAGTGGAGGAAAGTGAATCACATCCTCAACTATGTCATTTTGTTCAGTGGAAGCGAGATAAATGTTGCTGCATCAGAGGGACGAGAACACGTGACACACACAATCTCAGAACTCACAAGTGCGACTAAATATGATTTCAGTCTCTTCACTGTGTTTGAAAATGTCAGAAGCAGAGGAGTAAACATCGCTGCAGTCACTGGTAAGATGTTTTTCCTCTGACATAGGCTACAAGAGCCACAGCAGAGCTCTGTAACAATATCTAATTTAAAGTGTCTCAGTAACAGAGGGGTGTTGCTCACTTCATAGTTTCGACGGTTACAGATACAATAATGGAACTGAATGCAACTTGTTTGTTTGGAAACTGAACAAAATGCAACATTAGACTGGGAATATTCTGTCATTTAAAAAAATCACTTTTATTTTTTTACAGTTTTCTTTTTGTGTCTTTTACATTCCAGCTCCTTCTAACCCAGAAAAGTTCAAACCAGTAGGAAAAAATGAGACCAGTATAACTCTGCAGTGGAATAAAGTGAATAACATCCTCAACTATATACTTGAATTCAATGGAAGGATGATAAATGTTGCTGCATCAGAGGGACGAGAACACGTGACACACACAATCTCAGAACTCACAAGTGGGACTAAATATGATTTCAGTCTCTTCACTGTGTTTGAAAATGTCAGAAGCAGCGGAGTAAGCATCACTGGTAAGATATTTTTTCTTATTCAGTCTAAATGAAATGATTGACTGGCCTTTACCTGCCTGTCTACATACATGCACTCTGCCTGTGCAGTCACTGCACTCACTGTGTTTTGGGGAGTGTCTTTGGAATTAGGGCTGAAAGGAGGCCATACTTGGCAGCAAGGTTTGCTTTATTTATTTAATTATCATATTTCAGGAGAAAATGTCTGTCTCCTCCTTGCCTGTTGTACAGTGCTCACAGAATCTATATTTTCTTGGTAAGACTTTTCATGTCTCTCTTCCAAGGTTCACTGTGTCTGTACTTGGTAAGATCTGCCTCTTCTTGACATCTCTGACAGTAAAGAGATATTCTGCCATTTCATAATCTCTGTTTAGGGCCAGAAAACAATCTAGTTTGTGTTTTGTGGTTTTTTCTCTATCTCCCAGTGTCCCAAATAAGTATTTTTGCTTTGAGTGATCATTCGGTTTGCTCTAATTGATGTTTGTAAAGCAGTGCTGGCAGGAGAAAGGTGTTATTTAAATTTTTTCATTTTTTTGAGGGACTCAATCGGAGATTGGATGAGAGAGTGACCTGTATTGACGGTATTGAAGTATTTTGCTAGTGATATGCAAGTCATACAGAAATT